ACAGGAGACCAATTGCAATACGCTTTTAAGCTCGGCCAGGGTTTTGTTCCGGGAGCCGCATCCCCTCGGATATTTTATAGTTCAGAAAACAGAATAATTCAATCAGCTGAGAGACTGGGCCTCTTCCCATGATTTAATCAAATTCTTCCAAACGAAATGGCCCATGAAAATGTGGAGCGCCAGACTGTACCCTAGAACCAAAACGCTGAACCCAAACCACCCTCATTGTTATGACATTGCAGCCGAAACTAAGGAAATTCTGACCAGGCCACAGGATAATAGGGGGAAAAAAGCAGACGTTACTGAAGCAAAAATGGATAACAAGCCAGCACTGAAGACAGATCCCTTTTAAGGTGGGGGGAATTTGCAAAACGCCAAGAAGAGAACGTCTAAGCCAATCCAAAGTCTGCACAAGGCTCATTTAATCTATGCATCATAGACATGATATTCTATCACCGCCTTGCTTGCTGAACCTCTAATGCGCAATCTGTCCTCCTAACCCTCCCCAAACCATTTTTCTTTCTCCCAACTTCTTTCACAGCAGCGTTTTCCATTTATTGCGGAGTACGACACGGCATTCGTCTCCCGCCCCTGCTGCTTTAAATGTGGGTAAAGCCCTTTGGGGTACCAGTTCCCCTCTTTTGCCTTCTAGGCGACCTTCAGTGTTCAATGCCATTCTTTCTCGCGCAGAATGTTTCCTACCAGGGGGCTGGATGTGCGCACTGTGGCTAATGGTTGTGGCAGACCCCCTTCTTTTCCAGGCACATAGACAGCTTTCCGTTATCCCCGAGAGAGACGGCAGCTTCAAATCTCATCTGGCTTTAATTATTGCGGGTATCGATCAAAAGGGGCGAGGAGCCGGGAACTTTGGCCCTTTGCCACACTGGGGCGTCCTGATGTTTTCAGACAACAGCAGGCCAATTTTCTCTCTCTGTCCTGAAACCTGCCCCCTCCTAATCAAGCATGCCTGGCATTTGGTGTGCGTGTGGCATGAATATGAGAAGAAACACCTAAGCTCTGCGTCTTGGTCACAGAGAGGGGATCCAGTGAACGGAGAGATCTAAGGCTTCCCTGAACAAGTTTTGAAAGGGTTCGGCTGGGATCCAATGCCAGATTTTGGCAGTCCGGAGCGACATCCCGCCAGACGTCTGCTCTGCCTGCAACCCCCGTGCGGTCATTGGCTGCTCTGTTCCTGCCTTTTGAGCAAAAGTAGAAAGCTTGTGGGGTGGAAAAAAAGGCCAGTGGGATTGGGACAGGGGAGACAGACGCTGCAGCCTGGAAAGATTGCCTCTAAAATTGTCGAGCTGCCTGTTAAAAACGACAGAGGCGGCAAAAGTGCGAATAGGAAGTGTCTCGGTCTCTTGCTTCGTCCCGGCTCAAATTCAATTCTCAAAGCACAGCTCCCCGGCACCCAATCCTGTTTCCTAAGGGACCCCATCTTTGCTCCGACCACCAGATCGGAAACCATTCCCTCTAAGCCGGTGCGGAAGCTGAGCCAAACGGCCGAGAAGTTTCCTTGCGAAAATGGTGGGGACTGCTGCCGAGCGGCTGGGAACAGAGGGCTGAAAAGCAAGGATGAAGGAGGAAAGTGGGAGGGGAAAGGAAGCAAATTAAAGCAAGCTTTCGTTCCGGAGAGCCACGGAAATAGCAGCGATTCCTTCCTCTAAAGCGGGACGAAAGTTATCTGTGGTGGGCAAAAAATCAGGAGGAGCTCGGTCCCAACTTTTCCAACTCACCCGTGCTACTAAAAGGGGGATGCTTTCGTGAACCGCAGCTCACCTCCTCGGTGACGTAGGGTTGGCATCGTTTCAATTTGGCATTTACAGCGCTTAAACGGCATTTTTAGATCTTGCATCGGTCTAGCCACTCTGGGCACCTGATGAGAGCAAGCTGAAGCTCACCAAAGCGGGGGCCTTGTGCTAAAATTGGTGACTTGGAAAAAGCACTACCAGATTCTCCTGTTTTTTTCCCCCTGGTGGGGGAATCTGAAGGGTAATCGGGCAGGATCAAGTGTGTTCCAGCCAAATTGTTTATCAGCCTCTTGCAATGGAAAAGAAAAGGCTCAGAACAATCTGTTATTTTGGCTGTACCGTCTGCAGAAGAGGCAGCCGGTGATTTAAACAGCCGTCCTTCCTGTTTCTAGCTGAATTGGATCGAATAAGCTGCATGTTTGCTTTTACAGATCAATTTTCACAGAGAGGGATGTGTTGAGGTCTTCTCATCCCCCCGCCCCCAGTCATGGTCTGACAAGCCGAGAGCAATTCCCACGATTCTCTTCTGGCCTGGAGCCACAGTTGATGGCTCTCCAGGTTGCCTTTAACAGTGCAAGGTTCGGAAAGCCAACAATGCTGGTTAGGAGCTACCTTGATCCAGAGATAAGCAAACAAAATCAAAACCAAACCACCTTCTGTGGCCCTGTGAGTAATGGCAGATTTTTGCCGAGGCTCCCGTGGACACGGAATCACTGGGACTGCCGAGGTAATCTAGACCAACCCACTGCTTGGTGCAGAACATCACCTGCATCGTGACGTCACGGAGGAGGCCATCGCAGTAAGATTTTGGGACAGTCCTTTCAGCAGGCTGGGCTCCCCACCCACGGAGGGCAGTTTGCCAAATTCAGGGGAGAAGGAAACCAACCTTCCAACCGCTGAAAGGAAAGTCAATTCAGCGAAGATTGCGCCAGGATCGGGGCTTCTGCGAGCTGAACGAGAGGAGGTGCAAAACTTTCCAAGCTTCAAACGGCTGTTTTGAGCCGAAACCGAAACGTGAGGGCTCCACAACGCCTTGGAAATACTCTTGTAGAACCCAAGGATCTTGACAGCCCTACAAAAAAAATCTCATGTTTCAAAGGGTTGTTTCGAGGTCGTTTTAAGATTTGGGGTTTTGTCCCGAGGGAAAGAATTCAGTGGGGTTGCGCAGGATGTTGTCCTCTGTCCAACCCCTTTCTAAATGATGGAAGGGATTCTCATCAAATTTGCAGATGGCACCTGGCAAGGAGGCTGAGAGGACAGAATCACGATTCAGGATGAGCTCGGGAAGGACCGATCCCTGGGCCCAACCCAACAGGATGTTTAAAAGGGGAGGGTCCTGCATCTGGATGAGAAAAATCAAATGTGTAGGGTCTGGATTGGATAGATGTGCTTGCTGGAAACACACATGAGAAGAATTTAGCAGGACGGCTGGACCACCAGCAAAACACGAGCAAGCGGTGTGATGCGGCAGCTAATGAGGCCAATGCAATCGTGAGCTGCATTCGCAGAAGCATTGCAGCCAGATCACAAGGGGTGAGAACGCCAGTGAAGTCCTCCCTGGTGAGACCACACTTGGAGAACTGAGTCCAGTTCTGGGCATTAAAGTTAAAGGGGGCATGGAGCAGTGGGGTGGGCTCAGAGGAGGGCGGCTTGGATGAGGATCAGTTAACGGAAGTGGGTGCAAAATAGAAAACTAAGGTGGGGGGGAGATAGGACTGCAGTCTGCAAACAGGCAAAAGGCTGTCAGATGCAAGAGAGAGTAGAAACCGGGGGCAGAATAGGCTGAAATTAAAAGAAAGGAGCTGGAGGCTGAATCTTAGGAGGAAATGCGTGGCCGTAAAAGCTGCCAAGCAACGGAGCCATCTGTCTAGCTTGTTAGATGTTTTCAATGGAAGCTTAGTCGGTCCCCAGTTGGGGGTGGATTGGATGACCTGGAAGGACCCTCCCAAGTCATACACTGATATTTCTACAGATGTGGGGCCCTCCAAGGAGTCGGGAATGTGCCAAGTGAATGTAGTTGGGATATTTCCAGGACCCAGCTTGGTGGGGCCCCTAACCAGCCTCCACTGATCTTAGAAATGATTTGCAATGGGTTAGCAGGTA